TATGCTTTTTCACTTTTTTAATTTTAGTCAGTGTGTAGTGTGTATGTTTGGGCATAAAAAAGATCTAGAAAGTTACAAATCTCAAAGTCTACTCCAAAGGGATAATATATAATATAAATTATATGATTATAAATATATACATGTAAATATTTTCAAAATATATACTGTATATGTGTATTTATATATACATAATAAATGTACACAGAACACACATATTACATATATGTGCATATTACATATATTATGTAAAAAAAATATATATATTTTGGATGCGATTACTCGTGATTAATCGTCACTACTTTTTAAATATTTTCAAAATATATACTGTATATGTGTATTTATATATACATAATAAATGTACACAGAACACACATATTACATATATGTGCATATTACATATATTATGTAAAAAAATATATATATATTTTGGATGCGATTACTCGCGATTAATCGTTTGACAGCACTACTTTTCATTTGATTTCCGATATTTCAAGCTACGTATAACAAAGATCTTTAGAAATGATAAATCCCTCACCTGCTGGTGGTCTAAGGGTGCAGCTGTGCTCCTGTGCCCAGCCTGGCAAATGAAGCAGGGGGTCCAGGTAGAAGACCCACGTGATAGATTGGGTGTCAGGGAGCCCGTCAGTGCCGGCATATCGAAGACGCAAGCGACCCCCTACGTTCTCCTCAATCACTGCAGACCAGACCACCCCAGCATCTTGACAGTCCACTAGCTCAACGTTTAGACCCGGACTTAACAGATCTATAGGATTACAGCCACGCTGAGCCTACAAACACAAAAACAAAAGTGGCACGCATGCAGATAATGTAATATATAATATCTTAGCAATAACTGTGGAAATTTTATTGTTGTGCTACAAACATCAGTTTAAAAATCATGGCTATAACAATGTGTCATTAATTTATAATTGTAATGAATGTTTTTTTAATACTGTTTATATTGAGTTTCAAATTCAAAAAGTCATGTCTTTTCTACCTGCTTCTTTTTCCAAGTATTTGCAATTATTCTCATGATTTAAATCTTAATATTTTTGCTTTTTAAATTTTACAGCACTTTGGGTTGGTACAATGCTTTAATGGTTTTGAAAGAAGTATCTTTTACTTGCCAAGGCAGCATTTCTAAGATACTTTAATATTGTGATATTTTATATATATATTCCTGTGATGGCAAAAGCTGATTTTTAGGCATCATTACTCCGGTCTTCAAGGTCACGTGATCCTTCAGAAATCATTGTAATATGCTGATTTGGTGCTCAAGAAATATTTCTTATTATATTATCAATGTTTAAAACAGTTGTGCTGCCTATTTTTATTATGGTTTTTTATTTAGCTTAAAAGAACAGCATTTATTAGAAATAGAAATAATTTAAATGTCTTTACTGGCACATCAGTTTAATGTGTCCTTGCTAAATAAAAGTATTAATTTAAAAAAATAAATACATAAATAAATAATAAAAAAAGAAAATGGGTAAATTGTGTAAATACTGCATCTGCTGAGTTTACATACTTGATTCTAATTGGTCAACTGCAGAATTTAGCTGTCAAATAATGTTGTATAATGACTATTAAACTGTACACTTAATCTTGTCTCTCATGGTCCCTCTTTTTCATGCAATTTAGAACAGCTAATCGTCTGCAATCTTGCAACTAAAAACACTGAGCTGATAGTGATATACTGAAATACTGATTGCAGTAAAAATGGTCTTAGTTGACTTGAAATATTAATTTTAATATATCATGCTATCAGTTTATTTTGCAATAATGACCAGCTCTCTATATATTTTCTCCTACATTTATGGCATATCTCTTACCCCTTCCAGGAGACTAGCAGGTACACTGCAGGATTCAGCCAGAGCTTTCTCCAGCAGCGCTTCCCAGTCCTGGTGCTTCTCACGGACACCTGAGCACAAATTCAGAGCATTTTAAAGACATAACAGATCTTCAGACTATCCTGCTGACAGATTTATGCCATTTTGCGCTTATGATGGCTTCACCATTGACATGGTATTTTGGGCCATAAGCACAACTGTCAATAAGGCACAGGCAGCCAGAAGCAAAATGCCAGCAACCATCTGGACTCCCCTACGTCTGTACCTACTGCACTCTATTGCAGGATTTTATTAATAAAAGAAGCTTTAAGTATTAAAACGGGTCTTTTAATAATTTCAGAGGAGTAAAGGCCATGCCCATCAGCAAGCTGCAAGCTAAATAAAAGCCCCAACACAAACACCCCTCCCCCATTTCCTGAATATGCCCACAAATCGACTGTGAACAACCACCTACAGGAATTAGCACTGCGCTGCAAGCAACACAGCACTTGAAGAATATAAAGAAATATGCAAATTTGGCACTGTGTGGACGATGCGCACAAAGCTTTTTTGAAATGAGAGCATAACCTCTGCAGAGCCTAAATTCAAATCATCTTTACCTAAAAAGCCACATGTTCTCTTGAGTGAGTGACTAAATGAAACAATTAGGTTCTAATCATCATAAATTAGACAGCACAGTGAATCTGCTAAGTCTCTGCTCACCCTCTGGAGGTCTCATCGGTCGACCCTGCTGCTTGCTCCATCCGATCGGGTGCAGGTCAGCGGTCATGATGTCACACCAAAAGTCAGCACGCCGGTCATCTTGGTAACCCTCATATCGTAGCAACAGCAGCTGTCCGCAGGTGGTGATTATTGTGGCCACCCAGTATGCCGTTTCTATTTCAGTACGCACACACACCTCCAGCTTCATACCAGGAGTCAGACCGGTCTCCAGGCCCTGGTCCACCTGCAAAGGAAAAACACTGGTCTGAGCAGATGACAGAGCAGACACATGGCCAGGTGACACCTGGTGAGTAAACTACAGGGCAGCATGAGTGTAATTTTGGTCTCACAGTATTTATATACCACTAAAGTATTTATTAACAATTTCAATTAGCTTTTAGAAGCTTTTATTAGCTAATTTGAATACATCACTAATGCATAGCGAGTAATCTAAATGTTGACTTGTTTTCTTACATGCTGGCTCTAGTGCACGCTACATTACTGTTTTTGCGATCGGACACAACAGAACGCAATGTCTCAATAAGTTGGGTATTGGTGGATCTATGAATCACTCTGGTAGCTCACATAGCTCCTGCAGCAATGGCAAGGTCATGGATAAAAGTTTATTCCAAATTAATTTTAAAAAATCTACTCTAGCTTCTTGCATCAGTGTAATAGAAAAACATGTTTTTGTCACATCTGAATTTGATTAAAAGCTTTCAGCTTGGTAAAAAAAAAACTTATTTTCTTTAGATTCTAGAGATTCATTATAGTGGTGTAGAACAAACACAGGCTGGCCCGGTTTACTCACGTGTTTAAACCCATGATGAGGAACAGAAAGTGCCCCGGTTTCCTCCAGGTAGTCATCCCAGTTAAACTCTGACACATGCTGACCAGAGTCTGCATCTGAAACATTTAACGACCAATAGCTCAAACACTGCAGAGTTCATTCAGCAAACCATATCAACAGAGCATGAAAGTGAGTGCTATTCTCATTTTTACGAAATGATATCGATTCTTAAATCCCAAGAATCGATTATTCTAGCCTGTTTTCAGTTAATGGATGGAACATTGAAGCGCACCTCCCATCCAATAAATCGCAATAAGCATTGTGCGTTGATACTTTACATATGAAACAAAGTCTCAGATTTCAATTTATGTCCATTGTATTGCAGTATTTAAACAATAAATGCCGTTTTGGCGCCGTTTAATCTGGAGTGACAGATCGCTGTAGTGCCTCGGCAGCGTTAACATCACATTTACCTCAGAAAGCATATTTGGTGACCATAAACTCTATAGTCAGCCAGAAAAATAAACTCTAGAGAGGAGCATTTTGCTAAATATATGCACCCTATAACATTCATTATATATTTTTTTTACCATTCTTTAATGCTTTATTTATGTTTGAATAAATCCGTCCAAGTTTTTATGACAGCCACTATTTAAATGTGTATATTTAAAAAAACGAACTTAAGTAATTGTAACTTAGTTATTATAAAAACTTCATTAAGTGCAATTGAAGCAGTTGTACAGCACAAATCAGTAAATTTTTACCTTCAATATTATAATGAAGTACCAACTGACTCATGTATATTTTAGTTGAGAGATTTTGTTTTCCTTTAGAAAATTTGGCATGTACTATACCTGATATGTATCCAAAATAATTGATATGGAATCGAATCGGTAATCGAATTGAATCGCAAGCTTGTGAATGATAATCGAATCGTGAAATTTGTGTCAAAACCCAGCCCTAATATATATATATATATATATATGGTGATAATAGGCAAGCGCTTGCGCAAATATTCGGGTGACCTTTGCTTGAGGTTATGCAGAAATGTCCACCACTCTCGGTCAAGGACAAACACCGTGCCAGTACAATAGGACTGCCACTAATGGCTATTTTTATTTAGATTAATCTATCGATTAATCGATTGATCTAAATGATTAATTTCCCACACAAAAAAAACCACAACAATTTTACTTAACAATATTTTATTCAACTATATTTCATTGAACCAAATGAAATCCAAAAGTAAAAAAGTAAAGTGCAACAAAGTGCAAGAAGCAAGTGTCCATCTCATAGTCCAAATCACTGAAATCAAAGTTCAGTATTATAGTGTAAGAATGACAACATATCCACGTGTTCTAATCTACTACTAATAAAATTATAATCAAAAAACACTTTTTAAAGGAATATTTACCAGAAATGTTATTTACCAGAATTTATTTAGGAGAAAAATGTGAATGTGCAGTATTTCTGAAAAAAAAAAAAATCATTTTTAAAAAAAAAAATCAATTAATTGGAGATGCTTTTGATTATTAAAATTTAATGGAACCATTAAAATGGAATCCAGAAAATAATGGAAAACAGAATTCATCAAAACGTGTAAACTCAGAGTGAGGGTTTGAGCTTTTATTTTGAAACCGCGATGTATTCTCCTGTGTTTGCGTAGATTTATAAATGATTTACCTTACAAATCTGATGAAATGGCGCATGTTGCGTTCCCAGATGAACGTTATAATAAACCCAAACTCACAACAACATGCAGAGATGTAGTTTGAGACGCTCCACACATGTAAATGATATCAGTTCCAGTGGAACTACTGTGAACGGAGACACTTTGTGACGCATGTACTTAACCTACACGCATGTAAATAATTAAAGTGCATATACTGTATTAGAACTGCATCGCATATAATTATTTAATTAAATCGTAGCGTTTGTGAATTCACAATTATGCTTAATTATTATTTTTAAAAGGGTTTAATATATCATGCAGCCTTGGAAAACAGACTAATAATGTGTTTTATAAATTCTTGTCTGTGAAATGCGCCACTTACGGTATTTTGCCGGTTAGTCGACGCGAGCAAAATGAAGTCGAGGATTTTTAAAAATCGAATAGTCTAATAAAATCGACGAATCGCGACAGCCCTACAGTACAATTTTCATATGTGCAATACAGCTCTCAATACTATAATTTTCAGGTTCAAAGAATGGACTATAGTTTGGTTTTTCTTCAAATTATTTAGCAACAGTGCAGAAGGAAAGAAAATAAATAGCTTACCAGACTCCAGCGCCTCAAGGCTCATGTCTGAAGCCCCCGGAGGACAATCAAACCGTTTCTACATGAATAATAAGGAAAAAATAAAACAAATGAGAGGAAAACAAACACTGAAACAAAGAGAGATGAATTATGATATTAGAATAACAATTCATATAAAAGAAATTCTGTAAAAGTATTTGTGTGTGAGAGAGAATGCAGAAACATGAGGAGACTTGCACAAGCCACATTTCACACAGCCTAGTTAATTTAAGTAAGTGGGAGGAGGAAACCTTAGTGTGTAGCTTCCAAGATAAAATCCACTTCTGTCACTCAGACTCCCCACATCACCTTTGAGAAGCAAAAATGCACCACAATGCCCAATATAGCTTCGCAAAATGAAAAAGTTGGGTAGATATAATATCGCCTAAACAGCAGACTGTAATAATGCAACATATATGGAGAAAGGGATACCAAAATGAAGACATTTAACTAGAAACTTAACTAAAAAGCCAGAAACAACTTTGAAAGTTCTGTTTCAAGCTCAACATGCAATCTCTCTAAAATGCAAAATGAAAGAAAACGGCTACCAAAGTTGCATTAACTCTGTCTATTCACCCAGAGCTGTCAAGCTGTCTTTGTGAAGGTTGACATCTCTATTAAAGAGAGTCAGACATTCTCCCTGACAGCCGTTGGCGGGCCATGACCCTCATGCTCTGCTGGGATCAACTCTTTCAGTCCACCCCCCTCCACTCCAGCACCGTCCCAGAGCCCTCGGAGCACAGCCCGGGCCACGGACACAATGTACTGGGGGTCATGGTGGTCTCCAATAGGGATTGAAAAGAGCAGCCAGGGCTGTTTAAAAAGCCATGTTGCTGTCCCTCAGTATGAAGATCAATTGAACTCTAAAGCATTGTGAAGAAATTACCCTTACAATAAAAAATACCCTGGTAACGAAAAAAAAAAAAAAAGTAATTTAGTGTTAGTACAATAACTGTGGGAGCTTGTATAAGCCTGTTTGGGCATAAAATAAATAAACTTCACATATTGTAGAAACTACAGTATTTTAGCGGAAAGTCGTTGGTACTACATAGCGATTTTTTTTATTTAATCAGTAAGAAAATATACCGAGATGATGGAGAGTGTAACACTTTGTTTCAATGTCTACAACTCTAAAACACTTTAAGTGTTTTTGTGCAATGCGTCTTAAAGGTTGATATAATATTTGTCTCTAAACCAGGGGTGCCCAAACTCGGTCCTGGAGGGCCAGTGTCCTGCAGAGTTTAGATTCATCCCCAATTAGACACACCTGAACCAGCTAATCAAGCTCTTACTAGGCATACTAGAAACCTCCAGTGTGTTGAGGCAGGTTGGAGCTAAACTCTGCAGGACATCGGCCCTCCAGGACCGAGTTTGGGCACCCCTGCTCTAAACCATGTAAAAAAATGTCAAGTACAAAAAGTGCTGCTGCTGGGAGTTAACCTGCTAATTTTGTGCCATGAATTTACTGTGGAAATTCAAATTCCTTTTTAAAATTCATTATTACTATCCTGTAACCATCGCATTTTAAACATTTTAATTCAAAATGCCAAACAAATGGGAAACATGAATTTGAAAAAGCATTAGCAATGTCTAGTTTTTTTTTTAATAAAATGACATTACATCTTTATCTATTTGAAGTACACTACATTTTCATTTTTACAGTAGTATGGTTAAAAGAGAACTAGAGATAATGTAGTAACTATGGGAAATGGGCAGAAACTATGGTTACCATGGTGACTAGCAAGTGAAAGGTAGTCTTTGTTTTCATTGTCTGTAACTCAGCGTTTTTGTGCTCTGTCCTAAACTTAGATAATATTTTCATATTTGTCTGTAACAAAATAGTTTATAAATCTACAAGTCCCAAAACTGCAAAATAACATCATGTGGAAAGAACACTGCTATTATAATCTACGTTATGTTATTCTTTGTGTTATAAACTATTTCGAGCATGAATTTACTGTGGTAATTAAACTTACTTGTTCTAAATCATTATCACTGTCTCTTAACCACTCCTCCTGATTGCCTTTTACTTTTTTTTTTATATATTTAAAATGGCAAGCATATGGGAAAAAAAAACAGATTTAAAAAAGCAAATAAAAATAGCAATGATGCCTAATGTTGTCAAATGCAGAGAAATCCTTGGATGTCATATAGCCTATCAGACATGAGAATTTGATTCAAAACCACTTGTGTCATCCATTAATCAACATGAAGCCATGCTCTTTATATTTCTAACACAAAAACTTACAACTTCTACTGTTATGATGATCATGCACGTAATGAACGAGGAGACCCCGGGACAGCGGAAATCTATTTCTGGTGTGTCTATGAACCCTCAGCACATTCCTGCCAAACTCTGCCGCTCCATCACTTCAAACTAAAGACAACTTCCCTCCATTGATCAAGGGCCGTAAGCGAGTTACGGCAACGAACACAAATGAAAAATAGACGAAAGAAGAACATGACAAATGACGCAGTGACCGTTACCACGTGCACAAAGCACCGTCAGCGAGTTATTCTTATACACTGTTGTGAAAAATTAGGACTTTCATAAGAATACAATTTTTCTTGATTAGACAAATCCCCCTTTTTCATTTTTGAAGACTATCTACTAGTGAAAACTACATGAGAAATCATGTTTTCCTGTAGTTTTATGACAGAACGAAGCCAAATGGGAGCGCGAGTTCTTCACAATGGAGTGATGGTGACTTATAACACAACTTCTATTATGTAACACGGCCAGAGAATGAAACCGTCATGAATTTCTGAAAGCTTACCATCATTAAACTTTGTCTTTTAAACATGAACATTACTAAAACCCCACAAAACAACACGATCTCCTACAATCACAATAACGCATCATTGTTATGTATAACCACTGCCCAAATAAACGCCATTTAGAAGGTAACGTAGCGATAAAGAGAACCGATAGCTGATGTATAATTTGATTCATTTAGTGAGATTAATTCATAGAAATCGCCCAACAAGGAATGATGATAGTTCGCTGGTCAAGCGCATGTGTGTTTGGCTAGCTGGATAATAGCCTTTAATACATTCACGCCGATCAGGCAACTTTCATTCCGAGAGACACATCGCGCAATTCAACATTATTAGCCATGAAACATTTTCTCGGAGCTGTTTCGCGAGGCTTTTTTTTTTTTGTTGATGTGCGTGCGGCTGATTTTGTGCACATGCTAAAAACGCCTGTAACCAAGTCAAGTTACTGAAACGTCATAGCTTAAGCAATAGAGCCAGGCACTCATACGAGCGAGCACAAGTCACCTTTTTTTTTGGAGACGGGAAAAAAGATGCAGGCAAAGCCAAATCGCTCGTTAAAGCCAAGGTCGATTAGGGCAAAGGGTAAAATACATAAATATTTGGGAATGCATTTCGTTTCTTACCAGTGAGGAGTTTTTCAAGTCGGTTTTAGATGCCGTGTCTTTTTCCGCCTAGTCGTTCACGACCTCATTCCAATATGGCACAAAGTGTGAGTGCGCATGCGCCGTGTCTCGCGCGAGCCTCTCATCCACGAGCCCGGGGATTGATATTTGTTGGCTTCCAGCGATTAAAAAGGCGAACTTGCCACATATTTGAACAGAGCGTTTACAGTGTCCCACCGAAACAACACTGAAATAACGTTAATACAGCACTTTTGTTGATTAATAGAGCTTTTATTTGAAATGTGCATAGACTGAACAATAAAAACGCTGGGACGCAATATTAAACGGTTGCTAACAACTGTCATAACGATTAGCGATTACTCCGGTTTCTATAAATTATTGGGATGAATGCAATCAATAATTCTGTAGGCAAGGTTTGCCGCCCTGCTCTGTCGTTTTGTTCAGTAAAGTGTTTGTTGGCTAGAACGTACCATTAAACAGAATATATCTGAATCTATCGCAACTGCGCCATGCTGAGCAGCGCGCTCCTCTATGTAATCATCTTTCTAGATCCTTCTGTGGAAACACTGATTTTACATTTGATATGTGATTGATTTATGTATAGCACACTGAAGATAAAATGCTTGATTCAAAAACTTCATTTTAAACAAAATCTCCATGTTCCTTTTGGTGTCTATTAGGTCAACATTTCAAAACAGAGAGAAAACAATCATTTTAAAATAAGATTTCAAATAAATGAGCTTTGATTACCAGGGACTGACATTTGTCCCCATAAAGTATAGATTAAATAATGTATCCCATAACACAGGGCTTATCTCTTTGAAAAAAGAAACAGAAACTAAAAGCCTCTTACTAATTGACTTTATTTAAAATCTTTTGATAGTCTTGGTTGACTTTACACACTTATCTCTTGGCAATATGATGCACATTTTTGTAAACTATGTTCTAAGACCAATTATCTTTTAACAATTTAATAACTTTTTTTCCAGATAAGTAAGTGATGTTTCATCATCAAACAATCTGTATGCGTCTTCTGAAATGGTTAATGAAAATAGTTGTGGAAATTAAAGTACGTGTTCTATTCCTGGTCTCAAATTATAACCACTGGGAACTATACAGAGTAAGATCAGAAAACTGCAAACAAAAATGTAGCATATTTTATTATTTCTATCAAGAAATTGTGCCTAAAAGGAAGCGATAATCAAACAATAAATGCATATTTGTTCTTACTTTTTAAATCTATAGTTTTACAATGTGAGTCTTTTATTCAAAATGGGTTTCCCCACTAGTCCAGCATGTGACCACTGACATGTTTACATGTATTGTGAACATGATTTTGAGCCATTTTAATACTATTAATAGACCTTTAAAATATTAGATGTATCATATATGGCAGTTACACCTGTATACTAACATTTTTTACGTGCTTCCTTTCATGTAGCTTTGACCCAGACATCATCTTTCCAAGGGACAAACTGAAATTAAACAGCTCTGGTCATGTGACTGTTTACACCCGCCATGTAAAAATGTTCACATGAAATGAAGACAGTCTGCACTTTCATTTATAGTTGGTACCTTTGTGTAAAATACACTAACAACTTTTTTAAAGACCCTTCAACATCAAAAGTAAATTTTAGTCATGCATATTACCGGTGGATCTGAATTTGCTGAAATGCTCCGGGAAATGCTTCTTTAGGTCAAACGAGGCTTAACATGCAGTTTAAACCCAACTCCGCTAGATGGCACTACTTTCCATCTTTTCAAATGAGTTTAAGCGGCTGTGATGGACGGTGATGATGGCTCAGCAAAGTAGGCTAGCTACATTGAATGAACGTCTTCCTGTCAGTTTCTTTAGCAAAACGATCAAAATAACCTACATTTCTGAACCTAAATAAATATGGGATCTCCTTTGGGAGGTTATTTATTTAATAAAGGCAGTGGTGGTATGGCATTTTGGTAGAAACTATGATTACTATAGTACTTTATGAATGAATGTGCCACGACACGACAGTAAAGTCAAAATTAAAGTCGAAGAAACCTTTAATGGTGTTGAGTTCTGAGGAGTAAATTAGGTAAAAAAAAAAAAAGAGAACATTATTACCTCCATTAACAACAACAGTTCAGAACAATATACATATATTGTTATATACAGTATCATACTTTATTAAAATACCGACATTAAATACATATATTTATACTCTCACTTGCTTAGGAGATGTATATCCTCCACCCACCAATATACTGTACCAATATACTACCTATTACAGTACCATAAAAGCAACCCTATGTATAAACAATATGTCTAGCAAGACATTAATATTTATAGGTTGTTATTATTGAAGAGGTTTTAGGTTCGCCTACACTAGACCTCCATTATAGATCCATAGTGAGAAAAAAACACTATTCTGTGCACGCTCAGCTCACGCTGGCAAAATCAGCATCTTATAATTACAACTTACACTGTAGAACTTGCTTCAGATCAACAAGAAAGGATAGATACAAAAAAGAACCACCAAATTATCCCACAAACAAACATTAGCATGAGATTCTGTTTAACAATAAAATGTTGTATGAGGGAAAACAAGGAGGATTCAAGAGTGTTAAGAAGGCCACTATTCAATCAAATTGCAAAGTCCCAGCATATTATACAGACTAAAATGTACAGTCCCTTTCTTTTGGGTTTCTAGAATCTCTTTTTGTCTGTCTGTTTGGATGTATGATAGTAAGTTCATTATTTAATCACATGAACATTTATAAGAGATATTACAAGAACAAATATAGTACATCATCAAATAAAGTTTTGATTCAAAGTTTTGATCATTTGATTGAAGAAGACATAAATACAGCATTATCTATTTGGACCATCCAGAAAGTATAACAAGTGTAACACTGGTTGAACTCCTGGCTCTTATACGCCGTTTTGATTTGAGTTGGGCAGGTTTAGAGGATCCTGGTTGGAATGTCTTATTTTTCCATAATGGTCTCCATTTTGGGGTTAATGAAAGAGAAGCCAGCAAAGGCAGACTGGTCCATGGAGTCTATCAGGTTCTTGTCACTTTGAGAGAGACGGGGCTTCTCACTGAGGAAATCCTGGTCAAAATTGCTACAGTCATTGGGGGATTTCTGCAAGTAGAGGAAGAGAGATGTCAGAAAATAATCCTCAAGTCACTTTCAAGACTGTTGAAGGGGTCATATCCTACTTCATTCTTTGTCTGGTGTGACGTGGGTAGAAGTCTTCAGTGTCACATGATCTTTAAGAAATCATTCTAATATGCTGATTTGGTCCTCAAAAAACATTTCTGATTATCATCCATGTTCAAAACATTGGTGCCGTTTAATATTTTTGACAACATTTAAATGACAGATTTTTAGTAAGATTAAAAATATCTTTCCCATCACTTTTGATCAACTTAATGCATCCTACTGAATAAAAGCACATGTTTCCTTCAAGTCTTACTGACCCCAAACTTTTGAAAATTAGCGTACATTCACAAATCACAATCACAAAACAATCAACACTTTAATGTGCTGCTCAAACTGTTAAGATTCCACTGTTAAAAAATACATTTGCTGCCACCTAATGCTGTGATTCTACTGAAGTATATGCAGAGCTGTAGGTGCTACATACAGTCAAAAAAGAAGTTTTGCAAGCAGTTTAGGAATACTAGTAAGAAGAAATAACAGGTAATAGTCAATTTTCTGAATACCAAATAGGCATTGATGACGTATACTGTAAATGACGTGTACTATTCATCTGTCTGATGTCAATAACTTACTGAATAAACTGTCCACTTGGACTGGGGAGGAAGTTTTGATTTCTGAAAGTTACAGCATTTTTTCCATTGTAAATCCAACTCTTATCTCAACAGACTAAGGAAAATTTGATTGCTCATGACATGATACAACCTCTTTAAAAGAGATTTCCTGTATTGTAATGTCATCAATTAGAGCACAGATAAGGCAAAGGTTACTGGTTTATCATTAACTTCTTCACAAGTTTTCAGCCATGAGCACTACATTAGCTAAACACTTATGACAGATATTTTGATACTGCCTTTTGTTTCAAAGTACAGCAATAAGCTTCACATTATTTACATTTATATTGCATTACTTTGAATCGTGCAATGAATTCAGCTGTAAAATGAATTCTGCATGTAGGTCAAACCTCTCTTAACACCACTCATAGCAGTGTTATTTTAGTATTATTTATACACTATTATAGTATATATAATATTTTGAATTTGTGTTTTTTTTTTCATAATTTAGTTTTCATTTTAATTTCAGTTTAAGCTTATCATTTTTTTCTATTTAGCTTTAATGTATTTTCATTTCAGCCAAAGAAGCATTTAAATTTTTTTATCTAATATTTCATAAATCATATCAGAATCGTACCACTTTTGGCTTGAATGGGGGAGACACATCTCGTTTCTCCAGAGCAGGCCAATTGATTGTCTTGAAGAAGGCGTGTCCACGGATATTTCCCACAACACCAAGCCGTCGAGTTGGATCCCGTTCAAATAACTGTGAAAATGTAAAAGACACAGATTGAATGACTCCACAAAGCATCAGTACTGACAGCGTTCATTAAGATAAATCAATTGGTCAGACTCACTTTCTCCAGCAGGTCTTTGGCCTCTTTGGTAATCCACCGTGGGTAGTGTGGTACATCCATGCGGATCGACTCAAACAGCTCGTCCTCATCATCGCCCTGGAACGGCGACTGGCCAATCAGCATCTCGTAGAGCAGCACGCCGAACGACCACCAGTCCACAGAGAAACTGTATTTCTGTCCCAGCAGGATCTCAGGAGCAATATAATCTGGTGTGCCACAGAATGTGGTTGCTCTGTTTTCTCCAAGCATGTTCTCTTTGCACATCCCAAAGTCTGCAATCTTAATATGTCCATCCTTGTCCAGCATCACATTGTCCAACTTTAAATCTCTGATTAGACAGAAAGACAGACATGGTCCATTTGAGAAATGTAATTCATATGGACGTTTATGGCATGTTTTGGTTTGGTAATTTTCGTTGTATGAAAAAGAGCAACTTTCTGCTAAATTACTTGTGCATGACAATAAAAATAATCACAAACTTGAAATACAAAAT